TGTCTCGTCGAGTTGACGGCTGGCTCGGACTGGGGAGGAGGCAGTCTCAGATGGGGGTGCGAAAGATTGGCCAACTCCTGTCGAATAATAGTCGGCACCTCCCGTAGAATGATTACCGACACCTCAGAGGATATTCTGGCTATAACATTAGCCATTTCAGCGCATACGCACGCGCGAATATCCTCAATAAAGGCCGACTCATCTGTTGGACTCACCTCCTCTGGGTGCACCGACCTATCATCACCCGCAGTCCGGGCCTGCTTCCTCGGGTGCACAGTGTCGGCCGCAATTTGAAGTTGCAGAGCCGACGTGGACGGCGGTGCCGACTCTTGCATACGACGACTGGCCGGGTTAGGCCGTTGCAAAAATCGAGGCCCCTGCACAACATCCAAATTCGAGAGGTCCAGCATAGTACTCTCCTCCTCATACGGCTCCAGCGTCTCATGCACCTCCAACTAAATTCTTAAAAACAGAACATGAAAATAAAGAAATCATCAGAAATCGTTAAGACTTAAAAAAGAATTTCAAATATCACTTGCTATAATAAAAAATGATTAGGATCAAATAATACCTGTTCGTCAAAAAATGTATTTAGAAGTGTGACCTTCTTCAGTTCCCAGTGAACCAGCCGTGGTGGACGTCTCACCGAGGTACATGCTCCACATGCACGACCTAATGCAGGGATTGCCTCATAGCACCATACTAGAAACGCCCAGTGAAATCCGTAGATATGATATTTCATTTTATTGTATTGGGTCGTCTACAAGTAGTCGAACATGTACTGAAACGAGTAACTCCCCCATGGGAATTTCTCCCACATCTGGTCTTTCTCAAGCTAAGCCCACCAACAGGTATCAATATACTTAGGCTTCTTGTGGTCATGAGGAATTATGAAGAACATCAGCATTAGCATCTTCGCCACTCTCACTATCACATCCCGAGAGTGACGGAACTGCCCCGCCTTGAAGTCATCACACAACTGCTGCATAGTGATCCGCTTGCCTTTAGATTTCTCATAGAAAATTGACGATGGAGGAGGAGGAGGCGTTGAGTTCGGGTCAAACGCAGACGATCCAAAAGCAAGCCCGGTGACCACAACATACTCATGGGCGGAGAATCGTGTAAAATGGTTACCAATACGAAACCACATCTCGTTCGGTTTCTGACCGACACGAGTCACCTCGCGCGAAAGTACCCCATGTATAGCCTTTGCAGATACATTGACCTTATCATCAAACTGGAGGAACGGACCAAAGACCGAGCCCTGGAAAGCAGTCAAGGCCCCTTCAACGTGGCCCTACTCGTTCTTGATATTAGAACATATAGACTGCCGGCTGTAAACGTTGATTTTCAGCCCTTGATAATTACCGATCAGTTCTGGTCTCTTGTACGACCATGAATCCTAAACAAATCGCATTGTTGTTGTTATTGTTACTTATTCAAATGAAATTACTTATACATTATAAAAAAAAACAACTATTTCTCAACTATTAAAGCAGATGAAATTAAATAAATTAAATTAAATAATTGCAACAAATGGAAGTTACCTCTCCAAAAGAGATGGCCTCTGGACCCGTGCCTTCAGTTGCTGAGTCGCGGCCCGCCATACCCGTTACGGCAGCCGTTGAGTCATCGGTCACAGTAGCCGCTGTTAGGGCAGCCGCTTGGCCGGCCGCCTCGAGAAAAGCTTGATTCGTGAAATCTTCAGAATCTCTTAAGAAGTCCATGACGTCGTTCTCGTTCATCATTTTTGGTTCTTTTTTTCTTTTAATTTCTAACAGTTCTTTTGCTTCTAACTATGCGAAATAATGTCGCAAGATGGAGAATTTCAAATTTTTCGCCCCTCTTTCTTTTTTGTTTTCTTCTCCTGAGAGGTCCAACTGTAGCGTATATGCAACGCTTTGCTTTCTTTTTTTCTTTTTGTTTTAAAGAATAAATTATACGACAAAATATGTGAAATAACAGCTGTCGAGTAATGTCCGCGTAACAAGCGCCATACTTACGCAATTCTGATGCAGTTTTAATAAACAAAATAAATATAATGGTTTAGTTTCCGTATCACTTTCGCAGTTTAATACCCTGCGGTAGACCTACGAATTAACGCATATCCGTCGTGAGACGGTCGCATAAAGAATCGCATTATGGTTTAGTTTCCGTATCTCTTTCGCAGTTTAATACCCTGCGGTAGACCTACGAATTAACGCATATCCGTCGTGAGACGGTCGCATAAAGAATCGCATTTATCAGACCAAAATAATTGTTTAATAATTGTTTTACACGAAAAGTGGGTATACGAATATCCTCCAGTTGACCTGCGAATGCATTATGCGACGTTTATTTGTTGCAATTATGTGTGTCGCAGAATAGAAAATCTCCAAAAACAATTTTTGTTTAAATAAACTCTTCGATTATACTACGAATGTTGTGCGGTTTGTATGCGAATTTGTTTCGACTAATTATTTAGGCGACTTTTGTATTTCGACTAATTGTCGCAGGTTCATTAGCCTAAACTACGTGTTATGCGTAATATTTTCGACTAATAGTCTCAGGTTCATTTTGCCTAAAAAAGAATTTTCAAAAAATTAAATTCTAAAAAAAATTATTATGCAATAACTAGGCGAATAATACGCGACGTTTGTATTTCGCAGAATAGAAAATTTCCAAAAGTAGTTTCTTTTTCTTATTATGCACCAACTAGGCGAATAATATGCGAAGATTGTATTTCGCAAAATAAAAGATCGAATAGAAATCCCTACACTACTACTTTTACAGTCGCTTCAACCCCAGCCAATTACAAAGTTAAAAAAAAATCGAACGACCAGCCAAGCCTAAAAAAAAGCTAGGACGAGGGAGCCGACGAGCTACCAGCCTACCACAGCACTCAGACGCCAGGAAGATGAGCTGTAGGTGGAGCTTGTTTGTGGAGTTCCATGTAGAACTCCAGCATGAGATCGGCCCCGACCACCATGCTCTGAACCGATGGGCTCTGACGGGTTTCAGGAAGAGATCCCCGTCGACCAAACACCTTCCTCTGTCAGGAAAACCTGGCCGACCACAACCTAGAGAGGTTGAGGCCAGCATTGCCTCTGACAGAGGGCCGGGCCGTTACGCCCCGGCCACCGACGCACGCTGTTCTGACCTTCAACCTTCTCACAGTTGATACGGCAATACACGGGCCCGGAGGTTTGATCTTCATCGTCGCTGTCTCGGCATATATGTTTCCTGCCGGGGCCTTGTTAATAAAGTTGGATAGCGAAATTTCCGCTCGTTGAATTTTTTCCTCCGACGAATTCAAAAGGTTAAGAGTTCTCAATTCGGACACAGTAATCGTAAAGAATTGCCTCACGGGTCGAAAGAAAGAATTTTTGTAACTCTGGTTTATCTCCGGCGAACTGCTTCTCATATACAAGAAAAGGGAAAAACGGAGGGCCATTAACAAAGAGTTCTGTGGGACGGATGGGTAGTAAGAGAAGTGGCATTATGTGGATCGAAGATTACACGCTTTATATAGACGGATGAAACGATTCGCGTGCACGCTTTTACTGCCCAAGCGTTTTGAAAAGCGGATAAGACGCCTCGAAATCGGCCGTAACGTTCTAATTGCCAGCGGTTTCTAAACTTCAAAAATTTAAATTTTAAAAATAAACTTTCGATCGATGAAAGATGAAAGAAATAAAAAATAAACTTTCGAGTAGAAGCGCGAAGGGGGTATGCGAGCAATATGCGGTAATTCGCATACCCCATCGCATAACTGAAATAACAGAAAGATGAAAGAAATAAAAATAAACTTTCGAGTAGAAGTGCGAAGGTGGTATGCGAGTAATATGCGCCAATTCGCATATCCCATCGCATAACTGAAATAACTGAAAGATGAAAGAAATAAAATAATAAATAAAAAATACACTTTCGAGCAGAAGTGCGAAGGGGTATGCGAGCAATATGCGGTAATTTGCATACCGCCTCGCATAACTGAAAGATGAAAGAAATACGAAAAAAACTTATTATGCACTAATTCCGTGAATAATATGCGACGTTGGCATGTCACAGTTGTGTCGCAGAATAATTTTTCCGACTAATAGTCGCAGTTCATTCGCCTAAAAAAAAATTATTTGATGGGCGACGGACCGCGATTGACCGAATCGTACATCGAATCTCCGAATATTCATCGTAGAACAATCGCATACTTTAACTCATAATTTTCTCGCCCATGCTCATACCTGTCGCCTATTTAGCGCATAGTTCATCGCATATGTCTTCATACTTTATGGGGTGAAAAACTTAGCTTTTTATTGGCTGGTGTGAAAAATTTAGTACTCCCTCCTATTCATTATAAATATCGTTTTGACTTTTTTAATTCATCCATTTTGTTATGTATCTAGACATATTAATGTCTAGATACATAACAAAATGGATGAATCACAAAAGCAAAACCACATTTATAATGTACAGGAGGTAGTATGACTTATTCTGTACATTTTTTTTATTAATTAATATAATTATGATACTGAATAAATAGCCTTAAAATTGTGCACCCAACTTTCCTGCTTGTACTAGTTTTTTGAATAGGTATAGATATATAGTGCGCATTATTATCACCGAGTCCGAATTCATAGGTCTGAATCCAAAACGATATCACTCAACAGACAAAGACGTTTTGGTTATGCCCAAAACAAAATTCGACCCACTCGAGCTCAACTCCTCTCCTCGTGGCGCTCGGACTCGACGTTCTTTGTTTCTGGGTTCGAGAACCTGAAGAAGATTCAATGGCGGGTTAGTAATAGTAGCATATTTATCTGAAAATTCTGCTTCATTATGGGTTAGACTAGTTTTTGTCGCTCGACAGCTGTTATTGATTGTGTGTATGTATGTCGCAATTAGCAGCTGTTCGAGACGGTGCTAATTTGGGTTTTTTTTTTTTCATTTGTCTTTTCTTTTAAGGAGGGCAATCAGAGAGGGAAGACAGAGTTTCATTAGAACTCACTGAAGAAATACTGCAGAGCATGGAAGTAGGAATGGCCTTTCGTGATTACGTATGTTTTTCCTTTTCACAAATTAACTTGCCCTGTTTTGGTGTTTGCCGGGCGAAGGTAGCCGGTTATGTTTTCGGTTAATTGTTCGTCCCTGTTCATTGAACATACATTAGTGGCTAGCTCCTCCTTTCAGTTGAAATTAATCATGTGATCCGGATGATTGAAATTTTTGTACCAGATCAATCTGACAAGTTTTTACTGGAAAGATTGAGGCTATGTTTGTTTCATATCGTTTAGGGAGGAAAAATATGGTAGGGTAAATATTTTTCTTGCTTCGAACAATAAGCATAATTTACTTTCTATACCTGTCAGTTTTCTCTTCATTTCCACCCTAAACCTTAAGTCCTGTCAGTGGATTAGATGTAGCACACTGCACACTAGAAAATATTTATAACAAAAATTCCCAGAAAGGGTATAATGAATTGGCGAGAAGGAAAATCAGGTGAAGTATCCGTTGGAGCTGGACCATATACATCTGCTATCGGTTTATGTATGGCCTCATATTATTTCTTACAGTATGTCCTTCTTGGCGGCCTGATGTGGAGTTAAGACATTATTTTTACTGACCTTAAGAAAGGGTATAATGTTGATTAATTTCCAGAAATCTTCTCGTGTGAAGATATCCTCAACCCAAATTTAGTCTCACATTTTTCTTGTTATTGGGGTTTTCTTGTAAAAAGATGTTCTCATATGAGCTCATCTTCTTTTTGCACTTATGTAATTAAAAAAAAAAAAGAAAAAAAAAGGAAGTTGCTTTGCAGATGATACACTAGGTGGAGTTTATGCAGCTACATTCTGACATATGGTTTCCCTTCTTCAGAATGGTAGAATTAGCTCGATGGATTTTCATAAGACATCAAATTATTTGGTGACTGCTAGTGATGATGAGTCCATACGCCTTTATGACATTGCTAGTGCAACGTAAGCATCTTCATGTTTCCTTCCTCTTTAAATATACAATTATTGGTAGTTTAACTTGATAGATTATGCTGGGAAAATTTTGCTTTTCTGACAAGTTGATAATAGGATACCAGGATGATAGAAACTTGTTACTTCCTCGTCATTCCAAAATTAAATACTGATCAGACTGTAATAGCATTCAGTTTAGCGACTCATGCAACATGCCCTTTGTTCTCAATTGTCATACTATCGATGTATATCATGTAAAACTCTGCTCTATTGTACTCTTAATAACTAACAAATAATACAATTCTGCTGGTTCTACCTACTTGATAAGTTTGTAGTTTCATATTTCAGCATCTATTATCTAAATATTCAATTAAGTTTGACTAGTAATACTTTATGTGGCTTTCGTGCTGTGAACCGTAGTAACAAGTGTGCATACAATCCATCAACAAAATGGAAATACGGAAAATACGACTAAAGAATCAAGAATATATGGAAAATAGCTAGTCCGAACCCTAATAGTACTCACACGGGCTGAACCCTTTTGGGTTTGGAAAATAGCTATTCCTAACCCCAACAGGACTAAAAAATTTGTGGCACTTGTTGATATATGGAAAGTAGCTATTACTAACCCCAATAGGACTAAAACGACCAAAATAATTATGATATTGGTAATGAAAGATTTAGGCCCTTTGACGACCTTTAAAATAACTAAATAAAAGGACTCTAATACATACATAACTATGAAAATTGAGTAAATTCTTATAGCTAGATAACCCTCCAAATTATGTTGAAGTATAATCAAAACATTCTTCCTGGAATCAGTAAGGCTCTATATTCATCTCTGTTTCTAGAATATTATGATAGGGCAAAAGGTTTTCTATTTTTATTTTCTTTCTTTTGTTCTTTCATTTTGTTTTCTTTTTTGTATTTGTTTTTTTTTTCCCTTCCACTAATTTTAATAACTTACTGAGTTCTGTTATTGTGTGTAAGTTTCGCGATACTTTTAATTCCATACATTTTGGACCAGCTGTAGTTGTAAAGTGGCACAATATTCTAAGAGAATTTGTTGCATTCAGATGTCTAAAGACAATCAACAGCAAGAAATATGGGGTCGATCTAGTTAGCTTTACCTCTCACCCAACAACTGTTATCTACTCCTCAAAGAATGGATGGGATGGTATGCATATCAAAATATTGTGCACCTGCATTTCAAAGTAATGTTTGTGATTACTAAGTACCTTGTAATGACAACAGAATCACTGCGACTTCTTTCGTTGCATGATAACAAATACCTGAGGTACTTCAAGGGTCATCACGACAGGCAAGGCTTTTGAACCTTTTGAACATTTCTATTCTGGAAAGTGTATTCGATTTTTCGTATCGTGCAGTGAATATTCTATATTCTAATACTGGGTGTACAGGGTTGTTTCCCTTAGTCTCTGCCCTAGAAAAGATTGTTTCATTTCTGGATCTCTTGATCGAACGGTTTTACTTTGGGACCAAAGAGCAGAGAAATGTCAGGTAGTTTATTCTAATTTGTGTAAAATATTTTTCTTTGAGATATCCATTAACAGCCTTTTTTTTTTATTTTTTTTTAATTTTTTTGGTAATTAGGGTCTTCTACGTGTTCAAGGGAGACCAGCAGCAGCCTATGATGATCAGGGGCATGTCTTTGCTATTGGTTTTGGAGGATACATAAGAATGTTTGATTCTCGCAAATATGAAAAGGTCAGAATTTCTCATGACACTGATTTGGAGTATCAGAGTATGCATAAAAATGTTGCATTCTCTCAACGATTTTCAATTTTTGTGTACACTGATTTGTTAACTTTTCTTAAGGGTCCTTTTGACATATTTTCTCTTGGGGGAGATATTTCGGAAGCTAATTGTATGAAATTCAGTAATGATGGAAGACTTATGCTTTTAACAACATCAAATGGGCATATTCATGTGCTTGATTCCTTCCGTGGCACTCTTGTGAGTCGTTCTGCGTTCTTCTGTAAAACTTCAGGCATTTATTTGTAGCTTTCAATGGAAGGGAGTATACATCAACTGACATTTTTCTTTGCTGTAGTTGTCGACATTTAATGTCAAAGCTGTTTCAAATAACTCTACTTTGGAGGCGTCTTTTAGCCCTGAGGGAACATTTGTCATATCAGGTGTGGTATCTACCAACTTTGCCTACCAACTTTGCATAAGTGTTACCATTTGTCTTGTTTGACTATATTATGTTGGACTTCCGGAAATCATTTTCTTCTTGTTGTATCTATAACAGTTTTTATTTCTTCACAAATTTCTTTGCTTATGTTACTTGAGAAGAGTTGATATGCCACTGATTTGAGCTTGTAAAGCTTCAGCATGAATCCAAACTCATATGTAATGATTAATTTGTGGTTATTTTTCCAGAGCATTAACTTTTAGGCATACAAGATTTTGACAAACACTTGGTTTCTGCTCTTTTCCTGCTTGGTGCATACACTGGTGACTTGTTTCATTTGAAATCTATATGGCTCAATTTCATTATCATAAGTATTTACATGTCATAAGGAGTTATCACTTGCAACTTAGAAATTGTGCTTACTTTTCCTTTTTCTTTTTCCTTTTGCCCGGGCTCATGCCTAAAATGTCTTTGACGCTGACATCCATATAAACTAGACACTCTGGAAAAGTAATGAACAGAATGGCACAGATAGCATCTAGTGTGCCAAATTGAATAGGTGATTGTACAATACTAGGATGTTTTTTAATTAGCAGTTTAGCAGATTTGTGGCATGCGAATCTTTCAATATCCCTTGTGGACCTTGTGAGTTCTCATCAATGATACATAAAGAGCTTCATAGTAAAGCTATCGTTTCTGGACTCCTGAAACAGCTCTGGTAGTTTATGCTTTTCTTTACGTGACAGGTTCTGGGGATGGTAGTGTCTATGCTTGGAGTGTTCGCAGTGGCAAAGAGGTATGATTGGAGCGTGTTTATTTAAATGAACATTTTTTCTTTTGTCTGGTGCCATCTATTTATTGTTGTGACTGATGTTCTTACATGACATGATTCCTTTTCCCCGATGGAACTCTTATAAAACCAAAGATTCTTAACTCGCCAAATAGAGCAAGAAAAAAGTGAAAGGCTTTTGAATTTTTTTTTTTTGCGATATGCCAACAAATATTGAAATTTCAGATAATTTCAGACTACAGAGAATCGTTGCGCTGTGTTTATAAACAAACTGCAACACAAATTTGTGCAAGTGACGGTCATATTTGCGGTTTCTGTTGGAAACAACTTCACTCTGCACCATCCAGTGAGGTTTAGTGTTCATTACCGCTATAGCCTATACAATTTACTTTTGAAAATGTGTATGTTCTTATATGACACAAAATTGCATGCATAGACGTGCTTGCCATCATCTCTGTTATAATCAGTCTACTATGTTTAACATCCTTTGAATCGACTAAGTTGTTTATCCAGATCCAAAATTCAGGTGCATTCAGCAAACACCAATAATCGATTTAAAATGTTACTTATTTACTATTAATACGTCCTGGATTTTATGTTGTTAGGTTGCCAGTTGGATGAGTACTGAACCTGAACCCACAGTGATCAAATGGGCTCCTGGAAGCTTAATGTTTGTGACTGGTTCTTCTGAGTTATCCTTTTGGATTCCAGACTTGTCTAAATTAGCAGCTTATGTTGGAAGGAGGTAAGATTATCCGGGGGAAGTTCAATACGATTGCCCATGGGGGTGGGGAGGATGTTGTCCTTGTGTATGCTGTGGTTCCTCAAATGGTCCGGTATATCCTATATTATCCTGAAACTGTGTATATGGAGATTTTTCCTTCTTGATAACGTGGACTCATTTTATTGCAGATGAAGAGATGGAGTATTGCATTCAGCATATATGTAAGAAAACTGGCAGTTTGACATGCATTAGATAGTAATTCCTGTTGTTCGCCACTTCTTGAAGACTTGACATGCGAAAGGTGCCCTTATAAACTACGATTTTGGCCACTGTTACCAACTTCAATAAACCGAACTGGTGGGTCTGTTAGCATAGCCATAAAAGTTAACCCATTGTCATAGTGACCTTTTATGTATAGTAACACATCATAGTGATGGCTATATTTATACATTTTATTTATTTATTGAAGTAATGTGCTATGCCTATATGTTTGCAATTTTTGTTGACTTGCTGGAGCAGAACGTTTCTGCTAAACTAGCAAACAAAATTATAGATTTAGAAAAGTAATCTTAATAATCTTGAGTTGGAGAAAGATTCTTTACTCGTATAGTTGATACGATTACCAATACGTGCCATCTCGAAACGCGAGTTGCAGAAGCTTCTTTTTTTTTTTGTTGTGATACCGAGGTTCCAGGCTTGCGCCTGACTAGCCCTCGACGAAATAGCTCCGGCCCCTCAAAAACTGCCTCCAGTTAAATCGCGATGGCCACGCAATGGCTCTCAGGTACCTAATACCCTCAACTATCGCGCACAAAGAGTTGATCCCCAAATGATTGTTCGCTGACCCTCCCATCTCCAAGTTGGCCCCATCTATCTAGCCGTAGGGTCCCACCGAAGTAGTTGCTTCATGCTGAAGCCCCCCCAACTTCATGCTGGCCCTACCTATCCAACCGCTGGTTCCCACCGAGTTTCGGCCTCCCACTCTACCGCTTGTAGCCCTCAGTATTAATTGTTCCACCATTTGCGTTCCGAGGGCTTGAATCCATGACCTCATGTCATGGGTCATTAGCGAGTTAGAGAAGATTCTTTATTTGTGTGGTTTTATCAACCCTTTTAATTTGTTTGGTTCAAATAAAAAAAGTAGTATGACAACATAGTATGCCAGTAGCTCGGACAAGTGATATCTCGGACAACATAGCACGACAAGTAGCTCAGATAGCATAATATGGAAGTAGGTCGAGCATGTGATAGCTTGGCCATATAATAGTTAAGGTAGAATTAGATGTGTCAAAACGGGTTGACGGGGCGGGCCAACAGAATTTTTAATATGTCGGGACTGGCACCTGTCCCCCACCATAACCCACAACCAGTTGGATCACGTTGGATCGGGCTGAAAATAATTGTTTGTATGCACTTGGGTGGTCCGTAATTAGACAATTTTTTTTATGCAGCTTAAACTTTATTTATACAAGATTCCAAAAATTGGGCATCAACATACACAATCAAACTGAATCTAGGAGTAAAAAAAAAGAAAAAAAATAACAACTGGGCATTGCTCGTCGTCTCCGCTACAGCCTCCAAGATCACCGTCGCCACACATTGACAAAGGCTTGAGAAAGAGAATGAGAGTTTCTACTCATTAGGAATTAGGGGTAGGACTTAAAGGAATACACCTGCCCTTATTTTGTTTTATGAAAA